CGAGTAGAATGTTATATTTTGCCAATTATTCATTTTTTTGGGTTTACAATTAAAAGAAAAGCAAAAAAATGCATAAGTTGATCAGTAAATAAGTTAAGATGAGAAATATCGAGTCGTTTTCAATGGAATCCTTCTAAATGACCGTTATATATAGTATAAAGTTCGAATTGGTCAATAATTTGTACAAAAATACTTTATTTAATAGAAGAAACCATCAGCTTTGTGTGCTGTACGCATTAAAAAAAGCTCACACCTGTTCTACATATATCTGAATTGTGTTTGCCATGTCTCTCAATCTATTTTGTGTTTCAGTACTCATAATAACAACAACAACAATTTTTAGGCGATAATATATATAATCATACGTATAAATATTTGGACACATCTGTGGCACGTGTGAACTTAAACCTAATGAAAGCTTTGCAGATGCACATCGAGTCTTATTATAAATCCAATTTAGCTCTTGTCAAAATATTCATAAGCCGTGCAAAGGTTTCTAGCTGCATAAGCAAACAAATCACATTAGTGCTATATATATATATATAAATATATATGCATATTTGGCAGTCTAGTTATGTTTAATAATGCTCAATTTGGAAACTGATTGATTCGTACACCTGCTAGCAGAAATGTTTTTCGCTATTGCAATCTTTCTTATTGGGATAGCAGAGTTCTTGTTTTTATACCCTAAACCAATTGAGAATGTCGAAATGGGCTATACTGTTAGTTGTGCTTGAGTATGTAACGGGCATAACGTGTATATATATTCATGATCAGCATCACTAGCCGAGTTGATTGGGCCAAGGTCAGAGAAAATAATCTTTAGTTAGAAGCTATTCGCGTCTTTCTAACTTTCTCGTTATCGATAAAAATCGAGAAATAAAACCCACATCTTTAAAGGTATGTGTTTCTAATCGGGTTTGTGCATACCTTGACATATTATTGACATTTATATTGTGATATGGAGGAACAAGAGAGAAATACTTCGATTGATATTTGTGTGACAGATAAGTTCTTGGATTGGATCTTCATCTGCTAGTCGAGCTGTCTTGAGTTGAGCACTCTTACTTGTCTTTTTTCTTACACACATCAACCCCCTCCCCCATTCACAATTGCCAGCCAAGGGAGGGGAAATAACAAATGGCAGAAAACCAACAATTTGCCACACGACGCTGACAGCGACGGGGTTGCTTTTCGGTTCCGCAAAATGCATTTATAGCCGGCAACACAGCACAGTGGCACAGTGGAGAAAGAGGGGTGCCATGGGTGATTGGGGGGACGTAGGGGGTTGTCCACTGAAAGCGCCAAACAACAACTAGAAATAGAACTGAACTGCAACACACAACGAGTACCCGCTCGGCACACAGTACTTAATCTTTAGCGATTTATAGCCAGGCCAACAGACTTTCCATTATTTTTGTAACATTTTACTTGTCGTATAATTCACTCTTTGTATTTTTAGTATTTTCGCTGTAGTATTTTTATATACACTGCCTGCTTGCCTGCCTGCCTGCCTGCCTGCATTCCTTGCGTGTCATCTTGTACAAAAAAAAAAGAACATAAAAAAACACAAAACCAAATTTATATAGTAAATAAAATAGAGAAGATTTGTGTCTTGTGTGTTCTAGGTAGCCATACTAATTTTTGAGTTCATTTTGGCAACTAACTTAATAATTTTGTTGAATGGATATTTATTTGGTTGATTTCGAAAATGATAAAGAGACTTTTCACTGTTTACGCTTAATCCATTAATCCATTCAACCTAAAGCGGATTTAATTCAAAGCAAAACAAATCGTTCTGCTAATACAAAAATGATGTTGATGATGTTTGCTCTTCATTGTTATATTATCGATTTTAAATTAGTAAAACATACAGGGTATTTCTTAGTCGTACATGCCCCCAGACACATGCCCATACTACATGCTAATCTGTATCTGTTATTTTTGTACCTTCTCCGCTTATTGGCAAAGGCGCAATAAATTGATTTCTAATACCGTACTACGAGTCTGTCCCGCCTGTCTTCATCAATATCAGCTGTATAAAAATATATATATATATGTATATAAATCGCTCTTGGTTGGACTCTAGCAATAGCCGTATTTCAGCCAAACTTAATCAATACTGCTTATCTACAGATACAGAGAGCAAATCAACTAATCTCAATTTCGATCTGAAAATGTTAATTACTAAAATCGAGTATTATGAACATCTTTGACAATTTGATATATGGTTTATTCCTTAACAACTAAGAGTGCTTCAGCCGAGGTACAAAGAGAGCAAGATACCCTTTACCCAAGTCTTTACTATACATCAATATACGATTTTCTTAACCATGTTTGTGTCTTTGTGTATTGAGGGAGACGACTCCAACCCCATCAAACATGTATATTCCTAATCAGAAATACTAGTCCCGTCAATATAGCCATGTCCGTCTGTCCATCTATATACCTAACTATGACTACTCAGTCAGTTTTCAAGTTATCTTCATGAAATTTGGCATGTATCTGGCTCTTTGCTGCAGCAAGTACACAAGTCGGAGCTGAATAGATCGTATCACTATATCATACAACTGCCATAAGAAAGAAAGATGCAGAACTCTTTTCTTTGATATATTGAAAATAAAAATATTCAACGTACGCAACATTCCATAGTTTTTTTTTAGCTATAAAGTGAAACTTAGATGTCGGCAGTTTGACTCCTGTCTGCAAGGGTATCTGAACTTCGGCTTGGCCATGTTAGCCGTTCTTTCGTGATTTCTATATTGCTGATCAATATTACTTCAAGGTTTTCGATGCGAGGTCAATGGAACTTAGCTGGATTTTTGATTTTTGAACCCTAAGCATATTGTAATATGAGATTTTTTTGTATCTTAATCTTTGCTATATGCTAAGTATTATAAGACATTATGTAGTTCTTTCACGTACAGGATATTTGCTCGGCTGTCAAGAGACTTGAAATGTTGCATGCTTGTTAAACTAATTTATTATTTGTGATTTTCATTGAGCTACTAAATTATATATATATATATATATATATATATATATATATACCTGTTGTGCCACGTACTCAGTATAGCTGCATGTAAAAATGCTCGGTATTCAAATTTATATGGCGTTCAAAAATACAAAATGTAATAAATATAAAACTGAAACGATGGCATCGTTTTTGTATTTTTTGTTGTGCTTTATTATTATTACCTGCACATTTTTAATTCATGTTGTGCAAAATTTAATTGCTGCTTTAATGCCTGGCGAGTGAGGAATATATAGCTGTCTATATATATATTGAGAGAGAGAGAGAGAGATGCATGTACTAAAGATAGACAAGGCTGGAGTTTATCTCAGCTAAATGCACTCTCATTCTCTGCCTCTGTCTCTGTATCTGTCTCTGTTGTTCTCCCCTGTGTTGATCAAGTGTCATTGCACAAAAAAGTGCGAAAAGAATTGTGTTTATATTTGTGCACACGTATGTATATATATATATATATATATATATATATATATACTGTTATGCCTGTCATATCGGTTGGCGTTACGTTTGCCGTAAGAACATGTCATCTGCATTGCCGAGCGATTAAAATAAATGTGCCCGAAACTGTAACAACAGGAAGACATCGCAACCAAAATGCGCAAACCAAAAGAGAAAAATAGAAAAAGGCAAATTGCACAAGGCTGTCAAAGGCTGGCCCGAAAACAAATGACGGCATTTAAAATACGAGCGGTATATTTATCAATATAAATGAGCAGCCAATTAAATCTGTTCCACGTCAAATGATAAGCCATTTAATTAATAGCGATTTTCTTGACCAATCCAAATCGAAAATTTATAGAGTAATGTTAAGGTTAAATTGAAAAGTCTCTATCATTATATATAAATCAAATTGAGGTTATGTTTTGCTCAATGTGTCAAATCGAATTGGATTGCGGTTCCGGTTCCGGTTCCGGTACGTATAGTGTAAAGGTTTTGCATTGATTTACAATTACTTTTCGCGACTTGGTTCCGTTATTCAAGTAATTATATTGAGAACTGTAACTGGTGCTTATAAAAATGTTTAATCTCAACATATTATTCTCCACTGCGAACCAGATATTTATTATATCCAGTTTTAAGAGTGACAAGATAGTTCCCAGTCATAGCTTTGTCAAAGCTGAATCAATTTTCTTACGTCTCAAAACATCCCATTGCCATACCTTTTTCAAAAGTGACTCGTTTTTCAAATCCTGAGCTTTTTAATCATGGTTTCACAACTAGAACAATACTATATTCAAAGTTGGATTCTGCCCCGATATTCAAAAGTGTTAGTAGAAGGAGTCAACACTTTGAAAGTTGGAACGCGACTCGGTCTGAATCTTCATGTTAAATTGAACCGATTATGTAAGACAATACAATTTTGATCATTATTTGGCTTCTAGAAAAATATAGCATTCATTTTTGGCAAAAACAAAAACGGCAGTTTCATTTTAAAGTGTCAGGTAAAACTCAATTTCTTTACTTGGAATATGCGAGCCTGCCTTAAATTGATTGATAATCACATTTTGATGTGAGTAAGGATATGTAATCCTCGGTATTCCTTAATATTAAGACGTTTTATAGCTTATAAGATGAAAAAAAAGGAAATTTCTGTTAAAGTTGTGTGTAAGGCTCATCTTACATGAAGCTCAATCATTACGCATTTCATATCGTATCATGTGCCTCGATTTTTCCCAGTTTTTACATTTAAACGTTATTATTATACTACTTCGATTATTCCCCGCTTTGCACATTTGACCGTTACATTTGCAATGGACCAGAAGCTGGCCAAGCTTTTGGGTTGTTGTTTTGACTAATATGAGAAGCTTTTATGAAGCTTTTGCGGCTGGCGCCATCTACCAAAAACATAACCAATAAATCGCAATTGCAGAAGAAAGCTACTGAGACAGGTGGTTGATGGATTGAAGAGGGGGGTGGGTGAAGTGGGTGGGGATGGCGGTTGGGTGTTGTGTGTTGGGGCAGCACTTACCTTCGCACTTGAGACCCTGAATGAAAAAGCCACCCATCAGCGAACCACAATGATCACAAAACGTGGGCGACATAAAAATGTGCGGCTTGAAGCGATGTGGCATATCAATCTTGAAGCGTTCGCGCAGCAGCTGAAACATAGATTAGATTAGCGTCGAGTCGATTCGGTAAGTAAGGGGGTATTCCCCTATTTGTAATTGTGGACGGGGCAACACCTACAATTGTGCTGGCAGAGTTGAAAACGGAACCGGAACACTTTCCAAGCAGCTTTTCATGACACCTTTTGTGTACGACCGTCTGGCAAACTGTAGACAAGATATAGCGAGAGAAAGAGAGAGAGAGTAGTTGTTGCCTTGCTGACAGAGTTGTCATCTTACTCACTTATGCACTGATAGCCCTGCTTGCCAAAGCCCCACAAAAACAAATTGCAAAATGCACAAAATGTGGGCGTGCGAAAGAACTTGGCCACAAAGCGATGGCCATTGATGTCGTGTGTTCTACAGAAAAATAAATAAATAATTAACAAAATTTTAATTACAAGCAGTTTTAGATGCTCAAGTATAAAATATATAACACGCCCAAATGTGCATTGTTTTTTTTTTTTTACTCACTTTTGATGTTTGATGGCGCCACGTCGATTTGTGATGCTGCGGGGTCGGGTGCGTCTGTCCACATAGCCACTGCTGACACCACCAGCACTCTCCCTATCTCGATCTCGATCTCTATCCCGATCTCGATCTCTATCCCGATCTCTGTCTCGATCTCGGTCGCGATCTCGATCTCTGTCCCGGCTATAGGCATCCTCCTTGGAGTGCTGGCGTGGTAGCTCAAAGGAATGCTGCTTCCCATAGTGATAATGGCTGTTGTAGTGATCATCACAGTCACGTTCCCGTTCACGGTCACGATCACGTCGCGTACCGCTGGCACTGGTGCCGCTAATCCCGCTGCCACTGCCGGCGCCGCTGCTGCTGGAGGAGCTCTGCTTGTAGCGTACCTGAAGCAGAAGAAATCAATTTGAAAGGAAATTCTTGAAATGAGAATGGAATTCACAGTTTGTATTTGTAATTAGGTTGAAAAACAAAAATACAGATGTACCTGCATATATATCCAATTTATCAATTCTATTTGAGCTGATCGATATTTGCTTATTTTTTTTGCACTTAATAAATTGTTATAGTCATTTAAATATTATTTAAAAAAAAAAAATATACGCACTCTCATCTTTGCCAAATGTGAAAGGCGTAAAACCACTACAATGTTATTTTTTCGTAATCAATTTCGATTAAATGACTCTGGAGATTCCCTGCTGTTAAATTTAATGTAATTGCTGTTCTTTTGTTTATTCCAATCGAAAGTACAGCATTAAATGCCTATAAAAATACAAACACACCTTTCATAGTGTAAGATTTAGCTTTGTTATAGTTTCAATTTCCTATACTCTCAAACCATTCAAAATGTGTAAAAGGGTGTCATGAAGTTGTGTAAAAGTATGCAACAGTTAAAAGATCCATCTCGAACTTATAACTCATATATATATATACATATGCTTGATATCTATGAACAAGTATATCTCAGAGACTATAAGTGCGAGAATATTGAAAGTTGTTCTTATCTACCATTGGCAGATCAACCTTAATTTCATTTTCCGCTTTGTGAACTTCGATAAAAATCGATTACCGATAAAAAAGGGAGATTTTTGTATAGTGCCCACCATGTATTTAACAGCTTGGTTCAGGGTATCTGCTAGTCGAACTCTTTCGACTAAAGCATTCGAAATTGTTTTTTGTTTTTAAAGATGAAAGAAAAAACAAACAAAATGCAGACTTGAATTGAGAATTGTGGAATGTCGATTGATCCCAATTGTATTGAGATGAACAGTTACGAAACTAGAGATATAGTTTTGGATTATTGTTAGCTAAGGCACGCTCATCGCATAGTTGTATATACATATATACATATATATGTATATATTTTTCTTTTAGCTTTTTCTGGCTTTTTTTCACTTACATCATGGGCCAGGTGACGTGAGGAGGAGCCGCCTCCAGAGCTGCGTGGTCGCTGGCTGCTGCTGCTGCTGGAGCTGCTTGCCTTCTGCTTGCGCACTTGGGCCCGGGTGAACATCATTTTGGCAACAGCAACAACAACAACAACAACAACAACAGCAACAACAACACCAAGAACAACAGCAACAAATGCTCAACACGATTTGCCTCACAAACGGTAGCTGGATGATTATGTATTCTGGCTCTTTGGTTCACCGATTCCGATTCCGATGCCGATGTTGATCTCAATTCCGTGTGCGATACTCTCCAATATGGTTGCTCACTGCTCGAGAGTATGGGGATTGGGAGGAGTGTGGGGGAGGGGTGGGGGGTAAGGCGGGCTGTGCGGCTGCTGGTTCTGTTTTGTGTTATGTGTTTAACGATACGAAAGGCGTATTTCTTATAAGTATTTATATTAAATAAGCTTTTTCAGTTTTGTTGCTGCTATTGTTGCTATTGTTGTTATTGCCGTGTTGGCATTTTTGTTCGGCTGCAAAAAGTGACTTTAAGGCCCTGTTGATGGACATCTGAAAATGAGAAAAAAAAAAACACCAACAATTAAAAATAAGTAATTGAACAGCAACAAAGAAACTTAAATACCCTCACTACCACAATGTACATTCAATGTGCGGATCGTAGTAAGAATCTGAAAATGTATTTATATATATTTATATATATATCCTATATACTCGTTCTTTGTGTATCTTTCTTAAATTGCCACTGTCCACTGTCCACTGTCTTGGGTATTTCATATTTCAACTCCATAAATGAAATAATCCAAGCAATATTTTGCTTCGGCTCATTCGGCCTACAATTAGCAAGCGCATCAGCCGCATTCTCATCTGATTAATAATATTTGTTTAATTTTAGAATATATGTATATACATACATATATATATATATATATATTGAATTATATATTGATATATGTATTGAACCACATTTATTGATGACATTGCTGACGAGTATCAACTAAAGTTTATTTTGTTTTTATTTTTGAATTTGCTTCATTAAAACAAGCAAGAATGCTCGGATTGAGAGAGCTCGACTAGGAGATACCCAGCACCCAGCTGTTAAACATATATCGAATCGAGTAGTAAGTTAAGTTAAATTGTTCTCAATTGAGGGCTGGAGAGAAGATGCTTCATCAATAATATAGCAAGGCATATTCGATATGCAATGGAATTCTAAATCTTAAATCTTATTGGTAATCGATTTTTATCGATATTCGCGATATGGTGGGAGTTAGCAACAATTTGTAGCTAACTTGAAGATAACTTGTTCGTCCACACAGATAGACTGACGGACATGGCTAAAACGACTTGTCTGCTGATGCCTATATATATATATATAGTTATATACTTTTTATAGTGTATATCTTATATAGCAAGTTACAACTGGATATAATGGAATTCAAATTTGATGGCTCAAATTAATGGATTTCCTGTTGGTACGAGTATGTTGAAATATCACGTAGTATTTGTTTTTCTTATGGATCGCGAATGGTGGATCGTGCCTGGCAAGGAAATAGTCAATCGTCAAAGTGTGTATATATCTATCTATATATATATATATATATATATATATATATATATATATATATATATTATGCTATATGTGTGCGATCTTTACATTCACATAGTAATGGACCACTTTGTCATGCATTAAAATTTTTTTGAAAAATCGTTGAGAGTGCAAAATATGCTAAATGATGAACTGACAAATGAGTGAGATTGATATAGATGTATATCGTTGACTGATACGTACATATATCTAGTATTTACTCGATCAGCAATGGATGCAAACAGCTCTTCATATTGTTAGTGGATCAATTTTTCAAGTTGTAAACAATTGACTCATTTGTTGTTTTTGAGTACATGTATCAAATTCTCATTGCTCGGCGCTTCAATGTTTATGTTGTCGATTTGGATTCCGATTCTGATTAAATGCTCTTGGTTGTCCATTTTTTTTTTAAAGGGGAAGTTCATTTGAGAAATTGCAAAAGAAATAACAAATGCCAAAAAAAAGCAACAACTACAGAAAAACAGAAACCAATTTGAGATGCGATATTTGACGGCATTTTGTTTTGTTTGAATGCTCGTATTTAAATATGTACATGTTGTGTGTGTGTGTTTGTGTGTGTATATATTTGTACAGTACGTATTTGAACGCTTAAGGTTTGAAGGGCACACCCACACACATACACACACACCCACACCCACACACACACTTGTACTGTTATTGTGGAGTGTGAGTGTTTTTAGGGAATCCACCAGCGTGATTTTGGGCTTATGAGTCGTCGTTGTTTAAAAATATAATCACTTTTTTTTTTTCATTTTTATATTTTACTGCCACCAAAAATAAGTTTTCGATTCATTTCAAATTTGTTTGTTGCTGTTATTGTTGTTGTTTTTTGTTAATGTTATTATAAATAGAATTAAGTGGCGATTTGTGCGAGATTGCGTGCCGATTGATTGCCGGATATGATTAAAAAAAAAATGATTCCAAAACCAAATTGGCCAGAAAGGTGAAAATAAATAACAATTTTGGCAGAGGTTAAAGTGTAAACATTTTACAGTTACTTTTGAGATGCGAAATAGTTCCTACAAGATATTCTTGAATACATTTTCAAAACCAAATTCCAAATCTTCAAGAATCGCGAATGGAATTCTTTCATTATTTAAGATCTGAAATCTCAAATATTGATTTAAGAGTTGCTCATTTTAACATTCATCTAAGAATATATTCCTGGCTAAAGATTGATGTCGACCTGTTGATTTGATGCTGTTTTTTTTGTTTCTCTGTATATATTGGAATTTTTAAAGAACTCAATATCTTTCTTAGTATATTTATAAAAAAATGGCGATTAAAAAAACACTTTTAATTTCACCAAGCAAAACTGGGCAAGATTCAACTTATTTGTTTATTATTAGATTTTCGATCAAGTTCTATCCGATTATATCTAAGCCTTTATGGATTTATATTATTAATTTACCAGGGTAGCAAACCGAATCGTATTTCTGCTAAATATTAAATGAATTGGTTCATAATTGTTGGTCGGTATTCGGTTCCGTTAATTATATAGATTGCAGAAACTGGTTCTTCAAAATTTATAATTTTCGGCTTTAAGTTTGATTTTTTTTCTGTGATGCGAAAGATTAAAGTCGAACTTTTCTGACTTAAATAAGTATACGTCACAAAAATAAATTAAGTTTTTGTTTGGACAACTTGTTTGTTTTCGATACTGTGAGAAATTCTATTTTAAAATATACTTAAAGCAAACATTTGATTTGTGGCATAGATTTATTGAATTATATTTATGATTATTATTTTTAATTATAGTGAAAGTTTTAAGCTGATTAAACAGACGCTTTCAATCTCTCCCAGCAAACAAATCCAGACGGAATTCGAAATATATATCAGAGTAAAAATAATAAGCACTTCAGCTGCAGCCAGGAAAACCATATTTTTTATTTATTAAGAGAGGTCAGCAAACAAAAAACAAGATATCCATATACGTAATAGGTTCTAGTTATGGGTAAACATTTAATTTCAAATCGATTTTATGCCAACAGACCTTTGAGATATTTGCGTGATTGTGATTGTTTTATTTATTTTTTTTTTAATATCTACACTACTTGTAGAGTCAGCGTGTATCTGCAGCGGAATGTGTCAACTTCACAAGCGGGTCGATTTATTTTGTGGTTAACTGTTTTAGATACAAACGGACTGAGACTGGTTTGAGATTCGGATTGGATTCGGATTGGAATTGGAATTGGGTTGGGGATTGCTTTGGCTTGGTGTGGCGGCAAACTTGGATGGCGATATCGAACGCTGGCTACTATTATAAACACATTCCACATTGCTACAAAGCACGCACACACACAAAGAGAGGGAGAGAGAGAGAGAGAGAGAGAGAGAGAGAGAGAGAGAGAGAGAGAGGGAGAGAGAGACACACATACGCAATAATAAATATTTGGTAGTGGGAAATGCTTTTGTTTTAATGCCCCGCAAAACACAGCGCAAATTGACTGGATGATTGTGTGGCCGTTGCGGCGGCTCTGTCAGTCATTTAAATGTATGTGTCTGTCTGTACACACACACACACTCACACACACACACACATATGTGCACATATGTGTATGTGCAGATACAGATACAGATACAGATATATGTGTGTGACGTCATAAGAGCCTCGAAATGTGCTTCAATTGGAGGCTTCACTTTCAAAAAAAGACACCTGCACTTTTACTTTTATATTTGTGGTATTTATTTAATTTGTTTTTATTTTTTTTGGCTTACTTTTTGCTTAGCATGCTTCAATCCGTACACTTATTAACAAACAAAAAAAAAAAGAGAAAATGAAAATAGGAGCACAGAAAACAAAAAAAAAAAAATATGAAAAAAGAAAAACACATGAACACTTTTCACTTTGCTCCGCTAAAAGGCACTCGGCGATTTGTGTTTGCCACAATTTTGTGTTTTGTGATTTGTCATTTGTTTGCTGTGCGTGCAAAGTTGAGTTTTCGAGCATTTGCTATATTTCATTTTTCATTTTTCCATTTTAATTTTTCGTTTTTCGTTTTTCATTTGCCATTTTGCAATTTCCATTTGGCATCTAGATTTTCCCGTATGCCAAACAAACAAGTACGAAACGAGCGCGCGAACGAATATGAAAAATCAGAAGAAAATTGACCGAATATTATGATCAGTGGCAAGCTGATGAAAATGCAAGGCAGGCAAATCTTCCGCTCGGTTTTGTGGCTGCTGCGTCGATCTCGGCACGGAATGGAACAGAAAACGGAAACAAACAAACAAAAAAAAACAGAACAGAATACAGAAATCCGTTTGCTGAAAGTGATATATACCTGAGCACACACAGTCAGTATCTGCTGCTAGTGTATCTGTGTGTGTGTGTGTGTGTGTGTGTGTGTGTGTGCGTGTGTCTGTCTATAAGCGTTTCACTCTCTCTTTCTCTCTTTTGTGAGTGCAAGAGAGCTTTTGTCGATCGTTTTGACAGAGTTATGGCCAGCATATGGATCATGTGCTCTTTGAATTAATCTGTTATTATATGCACGCATTATTCGAGTATATAGAATAGCAATAGAGAGGGAGAGAGAAAGAGAGAGATGGAGAGAGAGAGAGAGAGAGAGAGTGAGAGTGAGAGAGAGAGAGAGTGAAGAGAGAGACTTTGAGAATGCACTTTCTTCTGCGGTTCTTTTCAAAGTCCTTCAATTTTTGCACACTTCTAAGACCATTTTTAATCCTTCAATTGGAAAATGTTTAATTGTATCTATAGAAACCTTAAGCAACTTAATTTACTTATTCCCTTTAAAGCTTCGTTATATATTAAGGCATATTTGTTTTAGTATAGTCATACTTTAAATACTTTGGCTTAACTCTTAATAACGTATTTTATTATATTTATATATTTATACTTTTCACATATAATATGAAAAGGAGGCATCTATGATTTGTCTGATAGCCTCGAAGCATTGTTTGAATTTATGGAACACATGATTCTAATATATACAATAATATTTCTTATATGTAGGCAGAGCATCTGTGAGTCGTTGATGTCGCCCCACATCTACTTATAGCTTTTATAGGCACGCGTCTTTGCATTTCTCTAAATATTTCTTTGGGTATTTTTAAATTTTTCCAAGCAGACAATGCGAGAGTCCGAGAGCAGGAGCGTACGTGAATGAGATAGAGGGCGAGAGAGACAGAGAGAGAGAAAGAGAAGCACATACACCCACACAATTACACACCCACACACATACACACCCACACATACATTTGTTAATACGGCCTTTTGCACGGGCGTATTTTTAAGAGCAGCTATTTATTTGATTATTTTTAATTTGCATATGCATTTTTTTGTAGTAATCGCAGCGCTGCTCACTGGAAGCAGAATACTTGTATCCAATGTTGCACTGCTCAAGATTATCGAACTGCTGTGAATCTGTCCTGGAGCTCAGCGAATCATTCCTCCCCTTGGCTGCCTCAATATTCTCGTCTCTAAGCCGTTCACAGGGCGTATGCTCCATACGGTTGCCCATGTTGTACTGCAACTGCAACTGTTGCTGTAACTGTGGCATTGGCAGCATTTGAAGAGTTGTTGCTATCGTATCGATAGCCCGATATCAATATCGATTAATCGCAATTAAAATATAGTTGAGCATATGCTCAAAAAATTGCCCTACAGAGATAATTGTCCTAAAAACTAGTCACACTTTCTGCTCTTCTCAAATTATTTATTTTTATAATATTTCGATTTTTAAAAAATCGAGTCTTGCATTATATATATTTAATAAATTTATTCAACATTTTGGAAATAGATAACAAATGATGTTGAAACTAATTATTTAAGAATCAAAGAAATATTTGAACAGAAAATATAATTCAAAGACTTTTGTTTTTGTAAAAGTTATTAAAATGTTTTGAATAGTTTTTTTCTGTTTATTTTTTTTCAAAAAGTCTTTAGTTATCATTAAATGATATTTACAAAAATTATTAAGACACTTTGCCAGGTAATTAAAGAAGAACTATGGGTGACATTTAATACGAAAAGTCTTCAATTAACATTTATTAAAATTTATGTCGTAAGTATCTATAAAAAAAAACGATGTGGATATCTATATAAGGATATAGATTAGGATATTCTCCACTAATGTATGTGTACATATAATATTTCTTGAGGTCACATAACTAACAACGACATTATCTTAATGTCTTAAAAAATGGAGGTGCATGAAAAGGTTTTCAATAGAATATAATTTTGTGCGATGATTGAACGATAATTCTGTGGGGCAAGCAACGGCTTGAGTGAGAAATCCAAATCTCAATTCAAATATCAATAATCAATTGCCAAAGCGAGTGTTTATAGAATCGAACAACGTGTGAAATCGGAGTGGAGAACAGAAATCTTGGCTTGGTAAACAAGCGACGGCCAATTTAAGCTAGTCAATAAATTCAATTCCAGCCAGATAGACGTGACAATATTTTTTCTATTTAATTTATACATATTTTTTTTTTATGGAAATGTTTCCGCAATTGGCCGAAAGACGTCTGAGGAAGGAGCTGTGTGAACTGTATCGACTGCGGCCGCGCAACTGTTGGGCCTGGCCCCTAAGCGGAGATCTGATGCTCTGGGAGGCATCCATATCGGGTGTGAGAGATACACCGTACTTCATGGGCATATTTATGCTGCGTCTCAAATTCAATCCAAGTTATCCATTGATAGCGCCACGCGTGAACTTCACGACGCGAATCTATCATTGCAATGTGGACTATGACGGCTACATCTGTTGGGATCTGTTGTCCAGCAGGTGGTCACCGATAATCAATGTGGCAACCATACTGCATGCCATTTGCGCCCTGATGCGCAAACCCAATGTCGATGATCCCTGCGACGAGGTCATGGCCGCACTCTATCGAGACAATCCGGATGAGTACAACAGCAATGCCATCGACTGGACCCTTAAATATGCAGTTGTCCCAAATGTGCCCTTGTCACCAATTCAGACGTTGACAATTGAGGAGCGCGATGAAAATCTTGACGACGACGATGATGATGATGGTGACGAGAATTATGAGGATGAAGATGAGACTGACACAACTAATGAAATGACAGATGTTTCCGATTTAACAGAAGATTCTGGGGAGACAGATATTGTGGATGAGAATGAAGGGTTTTCCTAATTGCCTGCTCAAATGGAGCCTAAATTTAAGCCCTTTTCATCTGATATTTTATATTCAACTGAAATATAACATGCATATATTTAATAACCAATAGCGTGTTAATTAAGCCCAAATGTTTTATATATATACATCAGTCAGCTCAGTGCCTGCTCTATCAGCGTCATGAATCTGAGTAAGTCTAGGTTCTAGGATTACAGGCTCTTCAGTTTTTATTTTTTTCAAATTTAATTTCGATTGTTTATCATTTATAATATGAAAAAATATATATTCTAGATCAGACGGGTCAATATAGCCATATACGTCTATCCTTTTATTTATGTAACTATTTGAAGTCGGCGGCCAAAGATTGTTGTTCATTCCTTGTTTGGCTAAAGGTTTTTAAGTAGGATTTATAGACATTTTTTGATACGAAATGGATTCATTTATGAGGCCAGACAATAACTATTATTGGCTGAAGGGCACAGCTCGAATACCCTTTCAGACATGTCATAGATGGTGGTCGATAATATCTGGCTGAGCGCCTAATTGAAAAGAAAGGAACATAAATATGTATAGCATTGGTAAAGGTAGAAATTGTGTTTGAGAATTCATCTTGAAAGTTAGTCAAGTACAAATTGTTTCTCGTTTTGCCTTGTTTCTCGCTGGTGGTTGCCAATTTGCATCTGGTCAGCTTCCTTTTGCAGCTAAGGAAAATTTGCTCCTGTTGTGATTTCAATCCTTAAGATACATTTCTACGTATTCCTTTGCTCAGACACCGTCGCGTGCTTTATGCTTATAACTAAGCTTCTATCCATTTCTGCATGCACATAACTGTAACTGTGTATGTGTGTGTGTGTGTTGTGTGTGTGTGTGTGTGTGTTGTGTGTAACTGGACATTGCATGTGGACTCTATCAATTGAAGTGCTTGCTGGGAACCGAATGTTATGCGGCCATCTGTTGGCTTTGAGCATTGCATGCAGCTCGCAATGGACTCGGACTCGGACTTGGATTTGGGTTCGAATTTCGAATCGAATTCGTGTTGCTATTGTGGCACATTGGTGCATGCAACTGTTAAATGCACTTGTGCCACATGCGCTTTTGTATTCCGGCTGCACTCCTCGGCCACATAACAAATGCTGTAATCAGTCATTATCACATACAGTTTTGGGGCCAACCCCAATTCATTATTACAAACACAAAGCTAAGGACATATGAGTCGCAAAAAAACATTGAAGATAAATGATTACATTTTGTGCTCAACAAGTCAGAATGATGTAATCGAGTGAGTTCGACTACGATATACCCTAAGCTCAGCTGTTATTTATATTCTGATTTTATTGCCAAAATGCCCTTTAAAACGGTTTGCACACTCAAATGTAAACTAGATAGCAATGTGATCAATGTGAGAATACTTTTCTCGATCTGTCAGTTGATTAATAATAATATTATATAAACAAATAAAAAATTAAATAAAAAAGTTCCACAAATTTTCCAAATTCAAAATCACCAGCTCTTAAAGTCTCTGGGATTATCAGAAGTTTATACAGATGGACAGACGGGCTGACATGGCTATATCGCCTTGGCCATAGACCTTGATAAATCCTGATTCTGCCTTTTGCACATTTTCAATGGGCTCAGGGTATAAGAAGTGATCATATAATAATAACACGCGCTGCTTTATGTAACCTTAAAATCAGAAATTATTGAATACATAAATGAATTGAAAAGGAGCCACTGTTTATGATTATATAATTTCTCCAATTGGGATAAATGCAATCTGAAGCGATACTCAAAGATAAGAAAAACATTAAAGCTCAAGTTCAAGCGTTGGAGCGTTGGACACTCGACTTGGCTTAAGTTTCTGCAATTCGATTTGGAGAAGCTCGACTGAGCTCGATTCAGAGTAATTATGTTACATATTTGAAACAAATCAAATCCGAATACAAATCAGTATGAGCTAGAGACAGCTCAACTTGGAGATACCCTGCAACCAGCTGCTAAATACATATTTAATTTGCTAATTGTAATTTGGTCTCTTGTCTAAGAAACAAATTGTTTTCTAATGATATTTTTATGAATGATTAATAATATGTCAATTTATATATATATATATATATATATATATATATATATATATATATATATATATATATATACATACATATATATATATATATATACAAAACAGAAAACAGCCCAAAAAAATACAAAATGGGAAAAACCCATCTAATTTTAATGTTTTTTTTTGGGCATATTTAGATATTATTATTTCTAACCATCTGAAAATGTTCTAGTTTTCTACCTTTTGCACAATTTCACAATACAGTTTTCTAGATATATATAGATATATAATTTATATATTTGATTGTTAACAACTTGAAGATTATGGTTACTTTTTACGTGTATAGCAAAGAAAGCCATCACCATAATATTAATACGCATGTGGGCAGGAGAGAAGGGGGCAGCTGGATTTCTCGTTGAGTATCAAGTGGGTCTGGGTCTGGTATTTGGTATCTGAACTTTGTGTGATATTTACAATATATGAGTAGCCATTATCAGGTGCCAGCTTGCGTTGTTTACACATACAATGAACTACAAATTCCACTCATGGCCAATGTGGCTGGGCTTATGGCTTGTGATGTGGAGGGTCAAGAACTTTGCGTGTCCAGACTGGATGGCACAAGGCTGAGCAAAACGGGACAAGTAAGGACATGGACATGGACACTAACACGGACACGGACAAGACACTAAAAGGGGTTGGTGGTGGGATTGGTTAGGGTTGTGCCGAGTAGGACTACTGAATACTGGGCTACTGCTGGCTTCACGTCGTACAATCAATTGCTATTAGTTTTCATTACAGTCAAATTACCATAAAATCACATAGACCGTTAGTTGAGTTGAGTTCGTGCCATTGTTGCCATTTGTCGTTGTCGTGGACAGGGGTGCAGGTTGCAGGGTTGCCACCTGCCTGCCACCTGCCTGCTACCGGCCTGACCACAATGCCTTGCCTTGCCTTGCCTCACCTTACCTTACCGCCTACCCCTACCACCTACCACGCAACTCAAGACACTTTTTCGATATTCATAGAATAATTACACTTTATCAAGGCACAGCGCAGTTCATGAATTAACACTAACATTTCGGCAGGGGTTGGAAGGTTTAGTTGCTGCCTTCGATTGGATAGTTTCCCTCAGCGCTGTCCTTGGTGACGGTGACTGGGAAATTAGTCAAGTTTGTTACGTTTATGTGAGGGAATTACCGTAATTAGAATATATTGAGCAATAAAAGTGATTTTTATTATTCGAACGCACAACGTGCGCTGAACGGAGATGATGGCGATGGTGATGGTGATGGTGATGGTGATGGTGATGGTGATGGTGATGGTGACACAATGGACTAAGGACTACAACTATGCTGGACACCACACACACACACACACAGGTGAAACAATTGGAATAACTGTAAGAGTGACCTCTTGTGGAAATTCTCGGCCTTTGTGGCAATTTTTGTGGCTTCTTTTTTTCTGCTCCTGCTCCTGTCCAGCGAGCTATTAAATGGCTGCAGTTCTCAATTTTCTCATTGTTGCAATCGTTAAAGGGCGAAACAAAGACAGAGTGAGAGAGAGAGAGACAGAGAGAGAGAGAGAGAGAGAGGGAGAGACTGAGATAGAATTTGACCTGCCTGGCCGGCTGTCTCTTTCAGTTGGAAATATGCAGCAGCTGTTGGCTTTTGTGCGGATTATGTTCAAATTGCACAAAATGTTGCTAAATTTGTAATTACTATTATTGTACAAAGAAAGTTTCAGTTGCATGGCTTTTGCTCTGTTGCCAATCAGTCAAATCGTTTAAGCTAACCTTTCTTTCAGGTCGCCTCAAGTTTTGTGTTTCTAGTCGACCTACAAGGAACTTTGACCCCTTCACTGCACAATTCACAATTCAATTCGGGTCATCTGTGAAATCGTTCTTACAATTCTCTCTTCACTCAATTACATTTGGCAATTTTAACATATTTTTTTATGGTACTTCACAGTTGCAGAGATTCACTCAGGTCTGAGCTTTTTACTTACCCTATTTCCACTATCAACATTTCCTACTTTCCTTAATGTCAACAATATGTAAATTTTGTTTAAAAAAAAGCAATAGGGATTATGGATGCATACTAAGAGATTGCTGTCTTTATTGAGATCCGAGATGAGGGGAAGTTTCTTTACGAGAACGTTTGCAATGTACTTCAACTTCAGAAATCTTTAAGTCGTGTAAAATTTTGCAATTAGTGTGGCACCGGATATTACAGTTAATGTTGCAACTGGCGTGTGTGTGTTTGTGGCAACAATGTCATTGTGCCACAAGCAGCACTCAACAGCTGCCTATAAGCAAAGTGTGTGGCACTTCATAAAGACTGTGCCCAAAATTAACTTTGACACACACACACTCTCCCCAGTGGCCCAGGGTGTGTGTGTGTGGGTGTGTGTGTGTTTTTGCGAGTGTGGGTGCCATAAAAACGCAGCTCATTGGCTCCTAAACATACCGTTTATGACCACACACAGATAGAAGCTGAGATAGTAGCGGAATGGGCACCGCCCTTACACTCGAAAAAAAACAAATAGAAATGCCATAGAAAAGAAAGCAAAGAAAGCAAACCTATTTTCAGATTAAAGTGATTGAATAAAAAGAAAAACACAAATAAAGTTCCTAGATCCTAGGCTAAAAAGTGCATTGTAGATTTAAGCATGAAAATTAATAGACATTTTTCTAGAAACAGGCAAAAAACAAGTGTGAAAATTCTAAAAAATCTACGTAAGAACTATTTTCTTTGGCACGCTGATTAGATAGATGAATAAGCTGGCAAAACGAAATTTAAATATCATTATTAGCTTAAAAAGCTATAAGATAGAATAGACTGACGTTGATGATTAGTTGTCCAGATGTGTGAAACCTGGAAAAGCTCGTAACGAGTGAGTTTGGTCTGGAAAACAGTTTGGAAACAAATAAGGAAATCAGCTTTCAACCGATTGTTCCTAT